ATGCATCCCATTCATCTATCCGACTTTTTTTCATCAGCGGCAGAACCGCATACGCGAGTCGACGTTGCTCCACTTTTCTCGGTGGTGTACCCTTTGATTCCACCGTTGACCAACCAGCTTCGTCATTAGGTCGACCCAGCGTGTTAGTGGGCGACCGAATGAACGTTTGTTGCCGATGAGGATTAAGTTGGTAACTCAGGATGTTCAGCGGTTGTCCTTCAGATGAATCACAGCCAGCCCACCGTCTCCTTGAGTTGTAAGCGGCGGTGAGTACAAAATCAGGTCTGACACCAAACTACCACACTTTGAACATGTCCTCGAAGGTAGACCTTCATTTTTTGCTTCCATCGCTCTTTGAATTACCACCGTTTTTCCCTCATCCTTGGTGTAGACTAGCACTCCGCATCATAAACGATGTTGGGCAGTGGAACAATCCTTGCTTCGTGGACATTTCCAGTTCGCTATTAAGCAGTGATGTTCCAGCGTGATTGAATCTTGCCATTGCCCATGCCAACTTCCTTCTTCTACTGATCTCGCCGTTGATGTCCTTATTGGAGCCTACTAGACGGTCGAAGTAGAGGCTAACGTCATTTTCCACCTTTTCGCCTTCAACGAAGGTAGTGCCTGAAGGACAGTGCCTGAAGGACAGTGCTCGTTTTGCATCCATTTGGTCTTGGAGGTGCTCATCTCTGGACCAATGATGAGAGATTATCTGTGCAACGGCACAATCCTTGTTTGGAGTTCCGCCGGGTCTTCGGTGAAGATGATGACTCTGTTTGCAAATAGCAGATGGGTGAGCCGTTCTTCGTCGATTTTAATGCCGCCGCCCCAGTTCAGGTGGTTAAAGATAGATCCTACTGCCGTCAGGAAAAGCTTTGGACAAATGGTGTCTCCTCGAAGAACTCCTCTTTTGTGCTGATTCGACCATATTCCTCGAATACCTTGTTGTCGGCTGCGGTGCCGGTGTCCAGTTCGTCGGTCCGGTCAACGCAGACATGGTTCATACCATAATCGTGCAAGGCGATCAGAATATGCGTCGATGGAATCAAGCGTTTTTCAGATGGCGATGAACGCTTAGCAGATGGGTATTGGTATTCCTTGCATTTCTCTGTCAACTGTTTCATGACGTGAATGTGGTCTGTTATGGAAAACTATGCTCAGAAACCGGCTTATTCCTTACTGGCGAGCAGTTCCAG